GTCAACATTGGCTACCAGAAATCACTTACCCCACCTTTAAAGGAATAGTTCATCCAAAAATGGAAATTTGCTGTAAATGTACTCACCCTCAGGTCATCCTAGATGTAGATGAGTTTGTTTGTTCATGGGAACAGATTTGGAGAAATGTAGCAATACATCACTTGCTCAGTGGATGCTCTGCAGTGAATGGGTGCCATCAGAATGAGAGTCCAAACAGCTGATAAAAACATGAAGTGAACATCTCATGAAGTGAAAAGCTGCATGTTTGTATCACTAAGGAGTTTTAACTTTTGGTGAAAATATGAGTGCATAATTCATAATAACGCTTCCTCCAGTGAAAAATTCCATCCCCTGTTGTTCTCTCGCATCAAAATCCACCAACATATTTGTTTAGAGCTGTTTTGGACTCTTCTCACTTGTAAATAGTGCTTGGTCTGTTCAGACGAGATGACTTTTTTTTTGATAGATACATAGATAGATAGACAGATAGATAGAGGACTCATATTTTAGCTGAAAGCAACAGTTAAAACACCTTAATGATGGATTTGTTTCTTACAAACACACTGCTTTTCACTTTACAAGACATGATGGACTGGAGTGGTGTGGATTACTTGTGGATTATTGTGTTGTTTTTATCAGCTGTTTGGACTCTCATTCTGACGGCACCCATTCACTGCAGAGGATCCATTGGTGAGCAGGTGATGTAATGCTACATTTCTCCAAATCTGATGAAGAAACAAACTCATCTACATCTTGGATGACCTGAAGGTGAGTAATTTCAGCAAATTTTCATTTTTGAATTAACTATTTCTTTAAACATAGATAGGGAACAGAATTAGATTAAGATTCACTGGGACACTTTTTGACACATCCAGAATTCACCCAAATTCTTTAGTCATCTATACTTGTGGCGTCACAAAAACGTAATGCAATATCACTCTGAAATGTAAAAGACTTTACTGGTGAGTTAAGAGGACATGTTAATAATTTCCTTACCGATAGTGGGGTCATGATCCTCTGGAAATCTGTGACTTATAAACTGCATGATGATGGCTGTGAGACAAAGAGAACAAGACAAGCAGAGTTCTTACATAATTGTGGTACCATGAAATTCAATGAGAAGAGTGTAAACATCTCCCCCTTCTCCCTCATGTGCAGCAAACACACCCTGCTGTTGGCATGTATTTGCTCTGTATGCGCTCTCTGCTCTGTTCCCATGGAGACAGTGATATAAAGAGAGAATATCAGTCACCCTAAAGAACCTTCTGCAGTGCACTCGAACAATGAGATCCTCACCAGGTGACCTCCGCTCATCTCCTAGGCAACAGACTCCTGGAGGGGAAGGAAGTTGCTAGGCACCTGCGCCTTCGTAACGACCAGACTGAAGCACTGAGCCAACACCCACATTTGTATTGTCTGCCCGCCTGTGACTGTACGTCTAAGGCTGTGAAACCAGCCCACTGTCTGACCACAATAAAGGGCTACAGTGAAAGAAAACCACTAAAATCTGGTACAAGGGTCAATTGCACAAAATTATTTAATGCCAAAATCAAAGAAAGAAATTTAGGAATTTAAATTTTAGTTGAAGGAAAGTCTATTTAAAGAGACAGTTCACCCAATAATTAAAATTTTGTCATCATTTACTCGCCCTCAAGAATTTCCAAAACTGTTGACCACAAAAGAAGATACTGTGAAGAATGTTGCTAACCAAACAGTTGATGTTAGCCATCGACTTCCATAATATTTTTTGTTTTGTTTTTTGTTTTCAACAGAAGGTTTGAAAAAAACCTTGAGGGTGAGTAAATGATGACAGAATCTTCATTTTTGGGTGAACTATCCCTTTAAGGACTTTTTGCACTGTCATTATTTTCAATTGTTTTAAAATTAAGCATATTTAACCACCACAAATTAACGGGAAAATGGATACTGGACATTGTTTTCCCCATCATCAATGGCCAAGTTTAGCCCACAGCCCTGTTTTGGGGCCTTTTTGCAGTAGACACAGAAACATTTAAGCTTTTAAGAGCCTCTAAAAAAGACACAGGAAAAACATCAAGTCAATATAATGGATATTTGGGACTGAGGTTGCTTTCAAATAAAATTCTGAAAATTAGATTTTTAATTTTCCTAAATGTTAATGTTCCTAAACATAGTTTTTAGGCTTCATTGCCTTTATGAAAAAATAATAATAATTTCTTATAGAGGAAAGTGTTGAAAAAATTGCTCCTAGCCACAGACACCTCTGACTTGCTCACTGGAGGATTTAAGCATTATGAAGTGACTTTCTAGCAGCTCCCTGTTTAAACGACTGCTGATTACATTTGGAAAAACTTACAAGACTTTTAGGGAAACAATCATATTTTTGTTAATACTTTCTGAGAACTGCTTATTCTTACTTAGAACAATACCGACTAATAGAGCTGAAACAATTAGTCAACATTATCGTCAACGTCAACAATAAAAAATTGGCAACAAATATTTTTGTTTGTCGAATAGTCGTGTGATCTAATGACCTAATGTAAGAGCCAGCAATAACGAGGTTTGACCAGTGTGGCACTGCAGTGCAATACTGTCATTCAGCTCTCCCGGATGAAATCCAATAGAAGAAGACACAGCAGTTTAGAGAGCAAACACAGCCGAATGGCATTAAAATGAAGGTGTAAATAAAGGCTGCATGCGTGCTTTCCTCTCAATAATGAAATTAAACACAACAAAAATGACAGAGGTGAGAAAGCAGCAGTTAAGAAAGCATCTAAGTATAGCAATGTGGATATGTTTGCACAAGCTCTGCAGTTCAGCACTCCATTAAAGTCCAGTCACATCATGTTCGACTTGAAGATCGATCGGTGTGACATCAAAGTACGTAGAGAGAAAGCATAATGAGACGTCCGCTCTCTCTTATAGCTCTCGCAGTACTTTGATGACACACCCATCGGTCTAAGCAGCGCTGCTTCAAGTCGAGCGCGGGCCATCAGCAGAAAAAGAAAATAAATAAAACAGTGAACATAAAGTGCTTTAAAAAAATAACTGCATATTAAATCGCAATCGCAATATTGGAAAAAAAAATCGCAATTAGATTATTTTCCAAAATCGTTCAGCCCTAGTGTAAAAGCTAGTCAGAACATTCCGTTTTTGCTTCAAATTGGGTTATACGTATAAATGATATGTATATGAATTATATAACTAAAATTAAATAACTGTAATTACAGATTTAGGTTAAATAAAGATGTCAGTCTTTATTTTTCTTCTTTTTAGGAAACAAATCAAAGAAACAAAATAAACAAATTCTACTGTTCCTAATATTCTTTATGTTGTTCAAAAACAAAATATATTGTGTTCAGCGGAAAAAAGTTTTTTTTATTTTACCCAGTCATTTAAAAATAACACATTTTAGAGCTGTAACGACAATACCGTGATACCGTGATATTTTTGCTTAAGGTTATCATACCAGCAAAAAGTTTCACAGTATTTCACATGAAAAAAAATCAGTGTCAGTGTCGCTTTCAGTTAGAATTACAACTAGATTTTCTGTTATAAAGCATCTCTCATGTGGAGCTATCTAATGATAAAATCTTTTTATTAGTGAATGCAAAAATCCAAAACATTTTACATTAAAGTGATAGTTTGGTTTGCAGAGATTAAAGCTTGATCTAACTGAGGACTGTTTTGATTATTGTAACATTATAAGGTATTTTAAGAGAGATTATGTTGTGAATAAAATTATCCAAAAATTAAATGTCTTATTATTTACCTGTATTTTGTTTCATAACAATATGACTTAAAAAAACGATGTTAGGCAGAATGTTGTGTCACTTTTTCATATAGCTAATTAAATGGTGAATGTGAATGTCACTCGTCTGTCATCACATTTTGTGTGCCAAATATACTGTATTTATTTGTATTGTAAAACAATTGTAATTAGGGTTGCAAAGTGTCATAAAGCAAGGCCAGACACAATGGGTAAGTGAAAGACAGGATGGTTTATTGATACAAGAGGTGGATGAGTGGAACGGGTTAGGTTAAGGCAGGTGAGTGTCAACAGAGTGAATGATTCCAGGGTTCTTATCTGAGTTCTGAGGGTGAGTGTCTGATGCCGGTTTCGTGGGGGAAACTTTCCAAAAATCCCTGGAATATTCCAAAAAATCCTGGAAAGTATCCAAAATTTCTGGAATATTTCCGAAATTTACTGGAAAATATCTACCTTTTTGCAACCCTAATTGTAATTACATAATATTACAGTTTTTCTCAGTCGCTTTGGTGCATTTCTCAGATCAGAAATGAAATTCTCAAAACTACTTGTTCA